CTTCAGAACTGCTGTTACATGTACTGCACTGCAGTGTGTTCAAACAGCCTGTAGTAAGGTGACTGATAATCACTAGTTCAGTACATAAGTAAAAGTAAAGTTATTCCTATGCCAAAAATGTATCATGAGGGCTATACAGGGTGTATCAAAACTCAACGGCAAAACTTCAGGAACGGACTCCTCGTATAGAGAGAAGAAAAAATGTGTATGACAACATGGGTCCAGAAACGCATAATTACAGTTATCCGAGCGTGTAATTTACGGAGTGCACGCCGACACATTCTGTTTGCCAGAATAAAAATGCGAGACACCGGTTACAATTGTTACACAAGTAATCATGTTGTAAATCAATTTGATGTGGGCCTGAATACCTCTAGGATGCGCAGATGATATCCTGTCATCTCCAGTTAAGTAGATGTAGCCATATCCGAAAGGTGTGTATGATGTCTGTTATCTGTGTTTATTAAGTGGTGTTTGCGGTCTGCTGTGAAGTGATACGTGATGTACACAAACGAAGAACTCACAAGCATGCATTACATGTATGGTTTGGTGGATGTTAATGCTTCGGAGGCGCATCACTTGTATCAGGAATGCTACCCAATGTGCAGATGGCCAGACTGAAAGACATTTGAAGGAATCCATTGCTGCCTATGTGAACACGGGAGTTTCGCACATCCATCAGGCATGAGGACAGCCAGGAAGTACAACCCCTGAGGACGAGGAAGATGTACTCAACACTGTGGATCCATGTCCTGGAGTCGGCACAAGGCAGTTAGGCCTGCAGAAGAATATCCCGCACATGATGATCTGGAGACTGCTACGAGAACAGCTCCTGTATCCATATCATCTACAGTGTGTACAAGCCTTGTCTCCTGTGGATTATCCTGCAAGAGTAACGTTCTGCCGGTGGTTCCTGCAACAATGCAGTGTGACACCTAACTTCACAGCCGTTGTGTTGTTCACAGATGAGGTGACATTCACAAGGGACAGAATCCAAAATTTTCATAATCAGCACATGGGCGCAGACACAAATCCTCGTGCAGCTATCCAATCTTCTCATCAGCAGATGACATTTCATGTGACTGTTGTGATGTATGTTCAGTCATACTTAGAAGGTTGGTCACTGTCCTGAATATAGCTAAATACAGTACGAAGCCAGCAATGCTAACACTTTCTCACACAGTCAAGAACTGTTAAATACTGACTGAAGATACATCATCACACTGTAAGAGCTATCACTGAGAAAGATGGTACTGTATGTGAAAACTGTACTGACAGTAATATTAGTTGTGGACCTGATGAAATATGTTAATGACTTTGTATAACACAATGTAATTGAGTACTTACTTGCCTTCCTCGATTCTTACAGAAAGATGTTTTATGTTTGGTCCAGTGAAGGGAGGTGACAGTGAGCATAACTCATATATGAGACAGCCAAGTGACCAAATGTCAGACTTTTTGTTGTATTTTCCACCTTTAATAACCTCCTGCAACAAATATGCATCCTCTCCTTAGTATGCTAACTAAATGGGCAGACAAACTGGAAATTTGGTTTACACTCCATTTTGTCAGCCTCCAGTAATAACATTCTGTAATGCACAAACTGAAGCATGAAGTGGTTAGAGCCTGGTAATATTAAAGGTTAATATATTTACTAATGTGCATAAGATATAAACCATGCTGCCAGCTTCAAACTGGAGAAGAATTTAACTCAGTATGTAAAATGAACAATTTTTTCTTTGCTGACTACTGTTTGCTTGGCTTATTCTTCATCTGTGAACATGGGGGCAATACATTCCTCTGTGACACTTGTAAACTTCTACCAGACTACACAGCGTTATATCCCAGAAGATATTGCATAGTCAGTGGTATTCACATCGAATAGTGGAGTCCAACTGGGTCCACTCGGCATGGCGGCCACTGATTGACCTATTGTAGCGATGATGGAGAATTTGGTGGAATGAAGATTTGCAGGGGAAACCGAAGTACTCAGAGAAAACCCACCCCAGCGCCACTTTGTCCACCACAAATCCCACTTGACCAGATCCGGGATCGAACCCATGCTGCCATGGTGGGAAGCCAACGAATAACTGCTCGAGCTATGGCATGCCCATGAATATTTATATTACAGTTCTGTTAACAATGCAACCACTTTATTCCTTAGAATTTTCACTTTTTACAACATGGTAGAACCTCAAATCCCACCTACCATCATTTGGACTGGATCATGTGATCTTTTTCGTACAGTACATATTCAGACATTTTGTAATTTAAAAGCACTTAGCCCCAACCAAGAAGTTGGCTGCATTACAGATTTCATATAGTTAAACTACAGTATCTGTGGAAGATACACTATATTAGCTCTTCTATATACAACTTTCCATACTTACTGGACTCATATAATAAGGGGTTCCAACCAATGTGTGAGCAAAGCTGGCATCATTATCCAAAATACGGGCAAGCCCAAAGTCCCCCAGTTTCACATTTCCTGCTTCGTCCAAGAAAACATTTGCTGGCTTTATGTCTCGGTGCAATATAGTAACATTGGGGACTTTCCAGTGACATTCCTGAAGAGCACGGCACATTTGATATAGCACACGCCATATAAATCCTTCATCCAGGAAGCTGCTGCTTCTAAAAATTAATGTTTTTATAGTATAAAAATTATTTCCATCAATTCAACATGTAACGTGGAATAAATAGAACTTAAAACCACAAATATTCTTATGGACATATGGAGTGAACATAATGCTTACTTTTTGCACTTGTTGATCAGGGTTGCGAGATCTCTGCCTTTACACCATTCCATAACAATGTAAAGTGTAGCTGTTTCCTTGTGAATGATTCGGTCAAAATATTGTACAATGTTTGGATGCTGCAATCCACTTAGCAAATTTACTTCTGAGACAAGAAGCTTAAGGAAATACAGAAAGAAATATTAATAAAATTATCTCAAACTAAAGTGATCTTTCTATAAATTATAGAGGGTAAAATTTTAAGTTGGAAATATTTATGTATGGGCTAGTACAGCTATTTAAAATGCCAAATTCAGTAGTATGTTTTTTTTTGTGGGTGGGGTTTAGCTATGTTAGAAGTTAAGCAAAGTTGCTGTACTGCAAAATAAAATCCAGATTCAAAAATGGTTGAGGGATAATGTTTCAAAGTTCTAGACCTCATGATAGAATTGTATAATGTGTACTACTAGCAGTACATCTGATAAAAGGTTTAATTAGTTTAATGACTAAAATTAAATAATAAAGAATATGTTTCTTTAAAAGGCTGGTGTTCAAACATACCTGTTTCTTTTCTTCACTCATTCCACCATAACCAATAGCCTTCCACACATATAAACGGCCATTGGATTTCTTTCGCACTTTGTAACAAGTACCAAAAGAGCCTGTACCAATTACATTTAACACTTCATAATCCTCAACATGACCAGACATTTTCAGTATTTATGTTTTGATTCCTGACAGAAGACACCTGTAATGAATAACGCTATATATAATATTACAAAATTTCGCTGTCGATTGGTTAGCATTTCTGCTTATTCAGGAGTTCCAAGATTCAAATCTCTGATCGAACATGATGATACTGTCTTCCGCAGTCTCTGGGAGCCGGTAAAGCAAAAATTGGCCATTATTGCGTCTTTCAACATCATAACCAATTCATTCTTTCACTAATCATCCCATAATTCGATACCTTATTTCTCAGCTACTGAGAAGGCTAAACTAAATATAAGTAATAAATAAACACGCACTCGTAATCATAATACATTCAATTATCACTTTGAATTTTAAAGAAATCACAGCTTATATTACCGTTTCGTATGTTACGTAAACATACAAAATTACAAAACGATAAATCCAGCGTTTTCAGTTTCAAACGCATATACATAAATTTGAATTGTATTCCTATTATTTGTTTTTGAAACAGGAGACAACGTGATTGGCCAACTGTTGATGTGTGCATTCAATAATTGAAGAGTTGAAGTTAATAGCCTACAGTATATGAAAGTTTTGCATCACGTGAGAAATGATAAATAAAATGAGAAAAAGCAGAAAACATACCAGAATAGGTGATTATTATATTCATAAATGCGCTGTGCATTTAACTGAATCCACAGTTTAGATCACAATTTGAAACAAGGCTATGTAATTCAATTACAACAGTTGAGAGCACTGAGAGCAGTTGTGGAATAGAACGACGTTACTCCCACCTATGAATGATACGAGAATAGGGTCATACACCACAAGAAAGATAGTGCTACGAGCGCTACCAGCTCAGATAATAGCAGTGTGGGCAGTGAGCGCCGTGAGCTCAGACCGGCGCAGATGGCTGGTTGATATATGTAGGGTTATATAGTTTGGCGGCTTTATGATCGTTTTTGAAGTGGGGTGAATAAATGTTTGCTTTAGATTTTTGTTATTTTTTGAGTTAGTTCTTAAATAATTTTTTTAGTCCTTTAGGTGAAGGTTTGAGTAGGAGGTGTAGGATGTGTGGCTGAATGTGTTGTTTCAGTCAAAGAGGGAGCTTAAAGCTTTTACAAAGAAATGAGTGAAAATGTTTGCGGGATTATGTACACGTCGTTGGCCCCGTTATCAAATCTATCGAATTATGAAAAATGTTGACATAAAATCGCCGACTGGTGTTCTTTATTCAAGTTGGAGAAGACGATTGTTTCTAAGTAAGAATGTAAAACAGTGTTCACACCTATTAATGAATATACAAGGTTACGCAAAGCTTATGTGCCTTACAAACCATAATAGAAATTTGCGAACTGATAATGTGCCAGTTTTAACAGACGTACACAACGCAGTAAATATATATCATGGACATCCATATATAAATTTATGTAGATATTATAACACAGTGAGCATGGAGGATATACCCGCTGTGTCAGAGTCACAAATTAGGAAGACATTAAAGAGTTATGGATTAAATTTCGTTGACGGCTTTACGTGTTTGGTCATTGAATGCCCAGTATGTCTGCAACATGTCAAAAGGCGAACTGAAAAAATGTATGTAAATAAAGTAACAGGTAAGGTTCCTACTCTGGTCAAGGGTTTAGTCCAATATTTGAAATATTTCTTGCACAGTAGAGAAAGTATTCAGGGCATCTTCCACCGAAATAGTATATTTAAGTGTTACAAAGAGATTGATCCATATGTTTTTGTAATAATAACTAATTTTAGAGAGCAAAGTCATTCTTGAGGAGCTGATAATTGTCCAAGTGACCCTTATGAAACCCAAAGGTTCTGCATATTTGCAGGAACCTACTACTTGACTCAACCCTGAATATGTTGAATTCAGTCCACATCGTCACAACCAGTTTTATCAGCCTCCATTATAATACTATCTTACCTTTTCCCAAGAGTTACAATGTAATTGTAATCTCATTAGTTGTCATGGTATTTTGTAGTAATGTGTCTGAAATTGCCAATCTCCAAACTAACAAATAGCATTAGACAAAGATAGGCAAACACATGAACTAACTTTGTGGACCTGAGTCCTTCTTGAGAATTTACCAGCACTTAGTTACTCAAGAATTTCCCACTATTTTACAGAACCCTAAGGTTCATTACTATGTTCACAAAAGCCTTTCACTGGTCTCTATCCTATATGAATGCAGTCCATACCATCCAATTCTATTTCTCTAGTATTATCCTCACACCTACATGTAGGTCTTCCTAGCGGTCTCTTTCCTTCTGGGTTTCCCACCAAAATCCTACATGCATTCCTCTTCTTCTCCATGCATCCTACATGCGCAGACAATCTCATCCTCTTTTACTTGATTATTCTAGCTGTATCTGATGGAGGGTATCAGTTACAAAGATCCTCATTATACAGTTTCCTCCAACCTCCTACCACTTCATTCCTCTTCAGTCTAAATATTCTCAGCACCCTGTTCTCAAATACACTCAGTCTCTGTTCTTCCTGTTGTGTCACAGATCAAGTTTCACACCCATACAAAACTGCAGGCAGAATTATAGTTTTGTAAATTCTAATTTTTATGATTTTAGGTAGCTGACAAGAAGGCAAAAGATTGTAACTTGAATGGTAACAAGCATTACCTGAATTCAGTCTGCTCTTAATTTTGTCCTTAATCTTGATGTGTTACTGTCATTCCCAAATATGTATATTTGAACTTTACCACATTTTCAAAGGAACCATTATTTTTTTTATTTCTAATGTTTGCATCCTGTTGCATGAGTATAACTAATACTACAAATTCAACCTTCAGCGCAACTATAATTTCTTATGATCCACTACATGTTTCGACCCTAATAGAGTCATCCTGAGGTGTAATGATTTACACATTTTCATTACTAAATTGTAAAGTGTGTATACATATTTACATACATAGGTTTAAAATG